CTTCATCTCGAGATCGTAATGTTACCATCGTATTGTAAGCTGCATAAAATTGTTTTGCAATTTCTCTTTACAAGTAATTTTAACCCTTAGGTTTGGCTCTGTCCGGTTGCGTTGCCTTAACCTCCGGATGGCATCTGCCCCGCGTGGTTATTTTGCCGAACAATAATTATTGAGAAAACACTATTGTAAATTGCGGCGAAAATTCTCTGCAAAACCGTGAAAAGTAGTGGAGGTTCCACCAGAAACTTTTAGTATGACAAGGAAGAAGAAGTTGCCGTCAACTTACGACATATTTTATGGATAGTAAATTGCAAAATATACTGTAAATTTGCGAAGATCCTGTCCTGCCGATCCATTTATTGGGGCGTTCGATCGATCTTGAGCGTTTTGTGCAGGGATATCGTCCATGTCAAAGCGTCGAACGGAATGTGAATGAGACGGAAATGTGGTCTGGCTCTGAATGAGCACCTCTAAATACGACACGGTCAACGTTCGTAATACGAACAGTATAAGGTTTTCAGAGAGAGAGAGACCGATATTTACAGTCGGACCGTACCAAGGAGATCGTCAGTTCTTTACGACATTTAAAACCTACCTCACAATTCTTACAAGCATTCTTTACAGAGCGGAGGCGTAGAATGTGAATATGCGCATTTGTGTTGTGCGTTTCAATGTTCCGCATTCCCACGTATAGGCGCTGCCTATCCACTGTACGTTCTGCTAGTATAGGGGCCGCCGGGAAACCAACAGCGTATATTCAGCGTATCCACCCCCCCTTTCTTTAAAAAAACCAAAGACAAAAGAAAACAGATAAATATTATTATTGTGTCAGCGGATATCCCGCGCGCGAACAAGAAGTCTGCGCGACGCCTCAGGAGATGGAGAGCCCGGGGGGCATACTGACCTCACAACAGGCAGTCGTCGTGTGCTTTTGGAAAGCTCCTCGCGAAACCACAATGAAGAGGGGTTGGGGGGAGGGGGCGCCCCCCCCCCCCTCTCTCTCTGCTGGAGAGAGGGAGGGAGAGAACTGCGAACTGCCGCCGCTGAGCCCGCTAGACACTGCGCCCCCCCCCCCTCCTCCCCCTTTCGCACCGGCAAGTACTGTATCCGCTTGGCGGAGTCCGCTACGTTCGCCGCCGCGCCTTCGCCAAATGCCGATGTCGATCACCCTCAAAAGGGTCAAATGACGTCGAAATGGCATCAATACGAAAGGCATGATGACGTCGTTATTCGGCGTTATTTCTACATAATGTGTGGTGACCTTACAAGCCCACGTCAAAGCCGTGTTGTTAGTGTCTATTATTAAGCACCACTGTGAGAAAGCAGAATCCGGAATATTCTCCATGAGAAACCATTGAAAAGTTAAGAGAAAAATTGTTACATTATGTGTGCGTTGCCGCTAAAGAATGAGAATTGCTGTCGTCAAATCATTGTATACAGGTCACAAATGTAGCCTATTCGACCGTGTATCGCTAATTTCAAAAAACAATAAAAATACCTATTGTGAATTTCCAACGATGATGTATAGCACACGTTAAAAATTATATCTTGTAATTAAAGAAGATTGCTTGAAATTCAAGGGAAAATGACTTCGATTTCAAGCAGTCTGCTTGAATTACAGTACAAGACACATCTTTTTTACCGTGCAGTGTTCGGGCGGGTGCTAAGCGACCAGTCATCCCCCAGAGCGAGTGCGCCTGTGCTCGCGCTGGTTAGCGACCGGGCCAGTCGGTACGGTCGTCCCCACCGCGCGTTACCTACGCACACCGGTGTGGAGACCGGGTCGAGACACACGGCAGCAGCGGCCCGACAACCACTCCCCGGAGTTTAAAGAGAGAGAAAAGTGCGCGTGGCCGACCCATCATCTGCGGCCTTCGGCCGAGGCGCGGCCGATGCAAACTGGGAAATTGGGCCGGAATTTCGAAAAAAACGCATCTGTCCAATTAGTTTGGGAATGGAAACATTTTCCAAAACATTGTCGTTGAAAAGGTAAATTCCAGTGTCCTGTATTTCGGAAATTTCCGATCAGTGTGAATATACGGTTCTACACCAAAACTGGGTTTAATACGTAACAACAAAAATGTCATTTCTGAATAAATGTTAGTCAAAAGTTTATTGGCATTTTCCAAAACGTTGTCAAATTCTCCAAACTGTTTTGGAGTTGTTGTTTGGAAATTTCAAAGAAGATAAAAACACAATTACAAGAGAGCTGCGACTGGAACAGAAATAGCGGTCGGATAGGTGGCGATCGCAGCCACCGGCTCGGTTGAAATGTCAGCGCCCGTACAGTGCGGGAGGGACTGCACCACCGTTACCGCCGTCACCGCCATCACCGCCGTCACCAAAACAGCTTGTTCATATATTCCGCCCCGTAAATGAAGCATTTTTAATGCTCATTCGTCGTGCATGGCTATTCATAACACGGCTCATCGGAGGTCACTGTACTTCTTTTTACGCGAAAGGCAAAGAGATAGGAATTTTAGAATAGCAACTAATAGGGAGGAGGGGATTTCAGTAGGTTTCCACTCCTTTGAAAGAGTGTTTGTAAATTAATATTTAAATCTTGATAGGTGTAACTTTGGAGCAATATAAGTATTTTACACTTATTGGTATCGTGTGTGTTTCTGTGACTCTGCCATAGCGCTTTACATGGTCGTTGGCCGTATACACTCACGCGGGGCTTTGACACGTGTTATTTGTCAATAAACGACGCCTAGCATCAAGTGCCTAGGTCGTTCGTTCACCGAGCGCTCTGCTGCCGAAGGGACGCCCGGCCCGCCGCTCGGGGCCCGGCGGCGGGCGGGCCGGTGTGCCAACGTGTCGATGTGGGCCAGCAACGGCATCTTACCGACTCCCCCCCCTCCCCCTCCCACCACTGACTGAGACTGGCAGCGCGTACCTAGAGTCTCTGCGGCGAGGTGTAGAGCGGCGATATTAAGGCAGACACAGACACCTGCCGCTGTCAAAAAAAATAATCTGTAATAACTTTCACACAAAACTGTGCTCGTCTGTGATTTCTCGCGTGACGACTTTACACCACCTAATAGATAAACGTATAGGGAAGAAAATCGTTGCAAAAGTAATTCTATAACTTTTGGTACCATCATACCAAAAAAGTTTGCAACCAGTGAAAATTATTTGCAGTGCAGACAAAATCCGCATAAGCGCAAAGCTGTCTGCCGCGGGGGAGATACGCGGCTCATCGGTTCGGGCGAGTCGCGCTGTGCCCTACAATGCCTCTCTCTCTCTCTCTCTCTCTCTCTCTCTCTCTCTCTCTCTCTTTCTCTTAAAATGCGCTTTTTATAATGTTAATGAATATCTAAAATATGGTCTAAAATTCAGACATTGTTGTTAATAACTGTACAAACAGTTCAGTGACAATGAGGAAGTTGCCCAGTGTGGCGGAGCGTAGCGGGAAACAAAACAAAGCACCATAACCTACGAGAAGGAATGCTTCATATCGCGGATTAAGTTCTTTTCTCGAAGTGCTATGTGAATGCATAGGTGTATATAAGGGCAGCACATTGATTAAAACCTTGTCAAATACTACTTTCTAGATGTATAGCGTAGTTTTCTTTTGTTGCTTTCTGCTTTGTTTTGGTTCCCTGCTACGCTCCGCCACACTGGGCAACTTCCTCATAAATCAAATCAAATCAAATCTCTCTCTCTCCTGTCTCTCTCTCTCTCTCTCCCCCCTCTGTCTCTCCCTGCCCTACCCTCCCTCCTCTCTCTATCTACTGTCGTTATTTAGCCTTTTAAAAAATGACTTCCTTATAAAAACAAATGCAAAAATAAAACGTACGCCTAAACGAAAAGTCTCGAAACTCGATAAAATTGTATGTACTGGACTTCCAAACAGCAGCACAACTAGTGTAGTATAGAGTACAGTACAGTAGTACACCGTCCAGTCCCATCACCAGTATTTTTTAAATTATTTTTACAGTGCATATGCGTCCTTTTCCCTCAATGCCGGAAGAGGCAATTGCGACGCCCGTCCCCGATGATGTGCCCTTTCAACTGCATTGTGGAAAGCATTAAAAATACGCAAACCAGGGTCGAGATTTCCTCTCTACCCGCGCCCGATCCGCGCCGAGATACGCCCTTTCACAATCTCGATAATTGGAACGCGGGCTCACTTCTAATCGGCCAGTCCTCGTCACGTGCACTCACCGTCCATGTGACGACATTCTTACACAACAACAACGAGAACGAAAAGTAAAGGGATCAATACAGACGAAAAGTAAATAATTGGCTCCTTTTTGCCGGTGCGTTCCCCATAGCGCCTGGCGGCTAGGCAGACCCGCCTCACGCGCCTGTGCGACGGGCCTGGCGCGCATCTGCCGGGCGTTTTCCAGCGGAGGCAGACACGCACGGACGACGCGATCAGGGTTTATTTTGTATTTATTTTCTTATATCCTGCAAATACTCGTGTCCCAGCTATTTTTAAGTTTGGTTCGCATATACTACTATATGCGGGCGAATTGTTATTTTGCATTCTAGTGGAATAACAACATCATTAATGTTTGTTTTGGCCCGAGTGTATATTACTCGCGGCGTAAATGTCGCTCCAGCGGCTTGATCACTTTCCGGCAGGGTGCGTATGGGTTTGGCGCCCTCGCGCCTGCTCGCCCCCGCCCCGCCCCGCCTCACCGCGCCCCGCCGCGCCCCGCCGCGCCCGGGTAGGCATGGCTCGCGGTGTGGCGGCCGCCGGTGTGGCGCTCTGTGTTCAGTGTGCCGTCGGCCGGCTTCCCCCGCGCGTGTGTGCCGTCTGACCGGGGAGAGCCACCACCTCCGCCGTCTGTGGTCGCGGCCCTGAGCCCGCTGTGTGAGTGTACGCGAGTGTCTGTGTGTGTGTGTGTGTGTGTGTGTGTGTGCGTGGACGCGCACACACTTGTTGTGCTTTATTTGTGCGCTATGCCGCCGAATGCCTCTGGCGTTCCCGATGGGGTGGTCGGGGTGTGGGGGGGGGTATAGTAGGGGTGGTGAGCGGCTGGGGTTGGTGGTGCTGCTGCAGCTGCCACAGCTGCTGCGGCTGGGGCTGCGGGAGGCTGGGCGTGGCGGCGCTGCTCTCTCTCTCTCTCTCTCTCTCTCTCTCTCTCTCTCTCTCTCTCTCTCTCTCTCTCTCGTGGTGAAGAAGAGCCACAGGACTGATTGCTATAAAGTGAAGCACACGCACACACACCTCTGCCTCCTGCAGGGGGAACCATTTGACATAGGCTTTTGCACGCATACGGTGAAAATTCGCGCCGTGCGGAGCTACACAGAGTGCTGCTGCAGGGGGCCCCCACACGGCCATCACGGTGGAGATTGCCCAGTGCGCTTTTTAGCAGATGATACGTAGTCATCAAGTCATCATCGGCTTGTACTCCCGTAAAGTTCGCCAGTTACTGCGTTAAAGTTTGCCGGTTAGAGCAGCAGCTTGCGCCCCGTCGCGTCCAGAGTTGAAAGTAAAAGCTCAACGCCAATCGTCAAAAGTCATCTGCTTTCACGTTAGCGTTAGCCTGAACGGTTTTTCAGTACGTGTCCCTGGTGTGGGTCCTCGCGAAGACAGCTAGGGGCGAGCGGCTGATCCGCAGTCTGTGCCCACGCGGCCCCTTGGCGGGGCACGATGGGGTGACACTCTCCCTGTCGCACACCTTTTGTCCTTTTGTAACGTTTGAGAGGCGAAAAGCAAAACTCACCTTTATATAGTAGTCATATACGGGCGTGACCTCATCACCAGCGTGACGCTATACAGTACAAGCGTGTCGCGGAGCGGCGGCGCGGCCGATGCGGAAGGCCAAGTCGCGGCCGGCGCCGCCGCCGTGCAGCGCGCGCGGACAAGGCCGTGGGAAACGCGTAAAACTAAAAAAAGTATAGTGATAGAGTAACGCTTAATGCATAACGTTAGATACTCGTGTGTTGTTTAAGGGGTTCCGCTTTAATGATGACCTTTTGCGTCGACTCTACCTTATAATCGATTTTATTTTTGTTAATAATAAATGCAAAGGACGCCGTTAGCGGCGTAGTAATACAGGCTGCTTCTCTATTGAGTCTTATTTTCATGATCATATATTTTTATTTTTAAAGGAAAAGGGCGTAGCTGTTTGAAATAACAACCTCGGCCGCGCGCTTTGCGGCCGATCCGTGCGTGCGGTGACGTTGGGTCAATCTGCGGGTGTGCGAGTCACGCATAGAACTGCGAACGCGTCACCAAAAGAGCGGTCCAACGACATGGAACGTTGTAGTATAACGATGAGACACATCCGCATGCAGAGCAGCATGGTGCCTTATTGTGATGACGATCAGAGGGCCGCACCGCGTTCTGCGTGTGTCTGACTCCGCCGGGGAGGGGGAGGAATACGCCGCTTTTCGGTTCGGTCGAGTCGCGTCCGCACGCCCCACGCCGCTCTCTCACTCACTCACTCACTCACTCACTCACTCACTCACTCACTCACTCACTCACTCACTCACTCACTCCGGCCGCCGCGCCGGTGACTCACTGTTGCATGCGGTGCGCGCCCCACCTCTTGTCGCGTCACTCTGCGCCACGGAAAGAGAATACGCTGTGTGTGTGAGCGAGTGAGAGAGAGAGAGAGAGAGAGAGAGAGAGAGAGAGAGAGAGAGAGAGAGAGAGAGAGAGACCTGGCCTTGCGGTCAAGAGTCGTTCTACCCACCGTGTGCGTCCGACACGAGCAAATCGAAATCCCACGGATATATAGAGACATATTTAAACGAGGTGGGAGGGGGGTACGTTTTCTCCTCGTGGTAGAGACAGTCTTCGGGACTGGACAGGGCGGCGTCCACAGCCGTTTAACAGACAGTCGACCTTGTCCACGCAGGTTGAGCGGAACAGTGAGACTTCGCGAAGCCTGTTACGCGAGACGCGGCTCGTTATCGTTATCTTTGGGAGTGTGCGACGCGCGGCGCGGTGGGCATGCTCAAGTTGTTGCCTCTACACCGCACTGGGTGATCACTATGTGGTCACGCTTGCACTCTCCGCGCGCTCTTGTGTCAGGCGCAGAAGTAGTGCGGGCTGCGCCCCGTCTCCGGGACGGTGGCGGCGGGTTGTAGGCGCAGCGCGGTGGTGGTGCTCCTGTATTTCCGCGGGCTGCTGCTTGTATTCGTCCCCGAGGAGAGTGGAATGTCTCTCAGAGGGACCGCCGTGCTGTCGCAGCCGTGCGATCTAATTGTTTCGGTTTCCGAGAGGCTTCCGTCTGTTTTAATCTGCTGTCTCTACACAAATAATAACCGCTGCCACATGCCAGGCTTTTCTTCTCCCAGTCGACACAAAAATTACTCCCGCGCGGAGGGTTATACGTTTTGGGCCGCGGCGGCGCGACACCGGTCCCGGGGCAGACAAGGGACACTCTTTTGCTCCCCATCTCGTATTTGCGTCGTCGCTAGGGGTCGATTTCGGGGAAGAGCCGGGCAAGCCGGGGGTATAGTTGAGAAAGAACGCAGCGCAGAGAAACGAAAATCGTATAAACCAGAGAGGCAACAGAAAACAACCACCCTCCGAAGCCCCCCCCTTTTTTGGAATCCCTTTAGATGTCTCTGTTCGAAATTCCTTGGAACTTCCTTTCGAGAGCATAAAAAAGGACTTAGGGATTTCATATTCCCTCGACGTTCTCACCTTGGCCGCCCGGTGACGGGCAGACCAGGACCCGGTATTCCGCTGGCTGCCGACACCTCGCCGGCAATCGACCATCCTGACCCTCGGCCTTTAGATCTCGCCCGCAATCGACCTAGAGTTTGCAATCGGTCGGGCACGGCAAGCAGGTGAGCTTACCCGACTGTCTTCTGTCTCTCTCACTCCCATCTAACGCGACATTAGAGGGAGAAAGACAGAAGACAGTAGGGTAAGAAGCTCCCCTGACCGCGCCCTCCGATTGCAAACTCTACCTAAAGCCCAGCGCACACCTCCTACACGGACGCTTCCGAGTAGCAATCAGACAGCGTGCGAAAGCGCATAGTGGCCCGACGCAAAAAGTTGGCTTTTGTTGTGAAAAAATTTGTTTAAGAAATGTTTTGGAAGCCTCCTTTACCATGTTCTGTGAATAGTGCAAACGGATGCAAAATGAAAAATCGCCGAGCAAAGCGTTCTACGGATGGATTTCACTTAAAAGGGATTATGCAGGATTACGATTGAAATCCAAAAATTGAGGGACAATAACTTTGGAACATGCGAGGGACAAAGTACGAACTTCATTTTCTGTTAGGGGCCCCATCATCAGCCAAAACTAAAAGTAGTGTGTGTTGGGTTTCTGTTTTATTTGGGATCGCCTCATCTCTGGTCCGCCAAATAATGTTTGACTTCCCCGCACACACGCGCGCAAATATTATTATTCGCGGACCCGAGTCTGTTTGTCGCTGCTGCTCGTATTCGCCGCCTGCCTTTATGATCATTGCGACGGTATTCGATCTATCGCGAAACTCGATAGATCGCGACCATCGCGCAGCTGCTGCTGCTGTGGTAACTGAACGCCGCCGCGCGTGGCGAGTGGCGTTCTGTGATTTGAATGCGCCGTTTAATCTTTTTGATTGTTTGTTCTGTTTTGGCGAGGCAATCAATGGTCGAAAGTTGTGGAAGGGGAGGTGAGACGATTGGCCCTTGCTCTCCGTGGCCATGTGACAGCGAGGAGCAGCGATATTTCTCGACGTATTTCGCATCACTAAAATGTGCGTTTTGTGGAAAACCGACGCGCTCTTTCGGTTCGGTTAACACGTCGTCGGTGTCGATGCGTACATCTTTGCCGCTCGAATAGGGGGAGGTTGTCGTTTGACGGTGATGACGAGGTAGAGGGGCGAGAGAGGTTGGAACGTGGGGGAGGGGGTCTGCAGCAGCGTTCAGGCCGCCGTTCGGGCGCGTGATTGTGTTTGTCTCGGGAGTAACGAGGTTATAGCTAAAAGCCGGCTGCCTGCCTCGGCGCGTGTAATCTACAGAGAGGCGATGCCGGCGCCCAGCAGCCCCCCGCCGGCCGCCCTGGCCTCCAAGGCGGCGCCCGCGGCCCTGGAGCAGCTGACGCCTCTGGCGGGTACGCCCGTCAGCCTGTGCGCCATCACGCCGCCCGTCGAGTTCCGGGACGCGCCGGCCGCGCCGCCTGCCGACAACGGGGACCTGCCCTACCTCGCCCCGGAGGTGCCCGACGACGGCGGGCTGCCGTCCCCGGGGCACGTCCGGCGCTCGATCGCCGCCTTCAACGCGGGCGTGAGCGCCGTGGAGGGCCTGCTGCGCCCCAAGAAGGCCCCCGTCGTGGTGCTGGTGGACGACATGTCGCCGCTCACCCCGGGCGCCCGCCAGACGTGGCCCGTCGACGACCGCGGCTTCGACGTGGACGACTTTGGCTACCTCCGCTTCGACCTGCGGCGCGCCGTGCCGCCCGGCGCGCACTCCTCCCTGTCGCCGTCGCCGTCCTCGCCGCTGCACGTGCCGCCGGGCGTGAGCCGGCCGCTGCGCCCCGTGCCCGTCGTGTCCATCACGCCCAGCGAGGACGTGGACCTCAGCGGGTCGCTGGACGCGGGGCCTCCCACGCCCCCGGACCGGCCCGTCAGCCGCATGTCGTACCTGGCGCCGTGCTCGGACGACATCAGCTACGTGCTTCCGTCGCCGCGCCGCCGTCGCCGGCCCTCGAGCGCGCCGCCCGACGCGCCGCGGACCCCAGTCGAGGACGTGGCCGTCGACGAGGTCGACATGGCCCGCACCGTGCGCCTCGCCATGCGCCGCCCCTCCGACCTGGGCATCATACCCATCTCGCCGCCCGGTACCGTGGGCTCGAGTCCCGGGGACGGTGACGTGGACGACGACGGCGACCTGGCGGGCGACGAGGACGAGGTGGACCGCCGGTTCAACCAGCTCCGCAACGAGCTGTTCGAAGTGATGCAGCGCTCCATCGACAGCGTCAAGACCCCGCACGGCTCTCTCGGCACGCCCACGCCACAGCCCACGCCTCAGGGGGAGCCGCCCGCCGCCGTGGTCGAGCAGCCCGTCGTGCGCCAGACGCTGGCCGTCCCCGCGGCCACGCCCGGCGGCGTGTCGGACTGGACGCCGTCACCGCTCACGCCCCAGGTGCCCGCCAAGGGCTTCGGCCTCAAGAGCCTGCTGCTCCAGTGCGCGTGCACCGGGCCGCTGGCCGTCCGCCGCAAGAGCGCGGCGCAGAAGCCGGCCGCCACGTGGTACGTCAAGGTAAGGACGGACTCGGCCACCTTCTCCGCCGCCACCCGGACCACCTGCATGCGGAGCCCGCCCGACCACTGCGAGACCCGAACCCTGCTGCCCTTGCTTTGCATCAGATCGACACAGTCCTTGTCGATCGTTGCTGTGTACCGGGCGTTCCGATCCGGCGGTAACTTGAAGTAAACCTTTAGTTTTCAAAAATGACCGGTTCATTACTTTTCTCAAATGCGTCTCTAGGCGTATGACATTCTCTCGTTGCTGCGGATGCCGCGCGTCTCTCTCCACCTCACAGGCTAACCGTACTAACCATCTCTTCTTTCTCTCTCTGTCTCCAGGTGGGTATCTCGCGCCGCTTGCAACCGTGGAAGTGCTGGGACGTATGTACTAACAGAGAGAGAGAGAGAGAGAGAGAGAGAGAGAGAGAGAGAGAGAGAGAGAGAGAGAGCGCAAATACCTAGGGATATAATGCTGACCATTTTAATGCACACCACTGACCCAATTCAAACTACACATCCAAAGCTCAATCTGAATCCGAAACCACTTCCAAATAACCCAAACAAAGTAGTCAAAACTAAATTCAAATTCGGCGTCGTTTCCCGCTCGGCGAATACTCTTATTCCCCTTACCGGGGTCGTAGCCCAGAGCGCATGCCT